ATGCCATTTATTTTTTAATTGCCCAATTTAAAAACGTTTTAGATTAGATTATAAAAATTAGTAAGATTGTGGTCGATATAAAGTACTTATGATACATATGAACTTTTTGACTTGTTTTGACCCCCATATTACCCAGTTCAATAATGACTACCATAACATTTACACCCTGTATATCATTCTGTATCTCTACACCAACATTTTTTTGTAATTCATTTTCAGACCTCGCCATTCCAGTTCGGCTTATCTACAAAAATCTAAATAATAATAAAAATTGCAGCACTGCGCAAAAGCTTTTTCCACTTTCGCCAGGCCGAATAAATAACATAGCTAAGGATGCGTTCCACTACGGCGCAGTAGATGCCTAAGTGGCTATTTACACTTGGCAATAATTGTGTTTCAGAAAATGCCAAGTCAATAAAATTAGGCGCTTGCTTTACGGGATGGGTCCGGTTTTGGGAAATTTCCTCTAGTACTTAATTATTTACGGAGGAAGTATACAAACCTTTTTTCATAGATTACCTACGCCACTAGCCTCTGTTTAAGCATACACATTCCTAGTGTTTGCACAATTCATCCTCGGGCAACAATCAGGCCTGAAGTAGCACAATGTGCGTACCGCCGATGCTGCGCACTACTATCTTGCAGTTAGCGACATTCATTTTTTTCTCTTTCCTCTGTTGTAGCATGCCAGTCTAGCGGTATGCCACTTTCATTGATTCATTTGTTTTAGTATCCTCACAGGTGTCAATTACGCAGTGGTGTACGGTGTACGGTAACAAGTGTTGTCAGCTGATTGTGTGTGGTGTTTAGTGGTTGTGCGGAACTAATGGTGAAATTGAATCAGGTGCTTTAACCTTAGGTTATAACGAGGAGTCTAGAACCATGCTTCGCGAAATGTTCATCATTTCGTATGCCAAAACTGGCGAGTAATGTATTGTAATCGTGAAAAATTTCGAAATTAAAGTATCATGTAGCACGAAAAAAATTTAAATCATTTCCGTCGGTCTGTCTGGCGGTCTGTCCCCTAGATTTACAACCCCCTATAACTTGAAAAGTACAGTTCGGTTTTTGAAAATTTTCACACAAGGTTACTACAATGCCAAAGATGAACAAGCTTTGCAGTTTTTGAAAATCGGTCTAGTGGTGGCGGAGCTAGGGGCAAAAACACGAATAAAATAAAAATCACCTAACCATCGTTTTTTGGCGTGTTAGAGGCTCCTGATCATTTCCGGATTTTTTTTTTGTAGGAGTTGAATCTTGAGGGTTGGGGGAGGGTTGTAGGGTGTAGGGGGTTGAAAATGTAATGTCTTTAATATTAGTCAAAGACCTTCTATCATTAAGAAGCTTCTGATCCTGGTAACAACGGGACAATTAAATGATAAATATCCGATAACTTGTCAATCCTTGACGTTACTGCATCGCCTGGCAACTTTGCAATGGGTAACATACAACAACTAAAGCGCTGGTGCCATCACTGATACACTACTACACGAAACATGTATATATTTTAGCAATATTTGGATATTAGGAGTACGTACCTCTTTAGCGTTCTACGATGCTTTTGTAAATGATGACTTAACTACACACATATACACATATATTTTTCGTACCTAATTGAACATACCTAATCACGATTCGATTTCGCCTTTTGAAACTATTTGACTAATTCCTTTTCTTTTAAACCTGAAACGAAGTCGTAGAAAGTATATAGTCAATCGAATTGACGCAATTTTGTTAGAAATACAGACACAGCTTAAATAACAATCAGCTATGAAACTTTCCTGTCAGTGTCAAAAACGGTCGCCGTTTCAGCGAATGTAAATTCCCCCAGTACAAATATTAAACAGTTTTTATAATTTATCCATCGAATGAACGGAGTAATAAAACAGGTGACAGGGCAGCCCGATTTACACCGCACAACTACCTGCAAAACCGATGATGCGTTATCGCCAGTGGCGTGTATGTTTTAAAATTAATTGAGGTACCATTTAATTTATTTTCACTGTTTCTTCTATCTTTTCATTACTTTCAAGTTGCTATAAGGTTTATTACATTGATATATTAAATATGTTGCCTCAGTTTATGATTCGTTAACTTTACATATTTTTTATATTACAAAAATAATTTTAATACATAGAAAAAAAAATAAAGAAAAGGGCTCAATAATTAAATTCTTTTTTAGTCCGATTGGTAGATTTAACCGTTTCATCGATGGCATTCTGGTCAGCACTTTTATTGCCCTTGACCAGATTTAAAAGTTCTGCTTTGACCAAATCCTTGTCAAAGGGAACATTATGCCTTCGTAGCCATTCCTGTATTATCCCTTTTCTGTTTCCACTGTTGGGTGCTTTATCAATACGCCTACTATGGTATGGAGCATTGTCGATAACATAGACGGCTCATAACATTTTCAAACCATTCTTCAAATAAATTGGCATTCGTATCGGCATGGTAGTCTCCTGCTTGTTTTGATTCAAATACCAATAGTCCATCTTCCTCTAAGCCATTATCAGATCCGATGTATAAGATAATTAGCCGTTTTCCTTTGCCTGAAGGATTTTTTAATCCCGTGGATAGACCTTCCAGGAAGGCTTGCCGAGGATGCTCAACTGATGAATCTACCCATACTTTGCTAACAGTGTATCCTGCATTGAGCCAAGTTAAATTCGTTAATTTGATGAACCATATTATAAGAATAACGAATTGCAGGTGATTCATCATAACAAAATTGCAAATTTAGTTTAGTTATAAAGTATAGGATAAAGAATGATAAAAATTCTAAACTATTTTTATGTGTGATCATTTTACGTAATTTTTTAGTATTGTATTTTACTTTCAAGGAGAAATAAATAACAACAGCTTTTTGTACAACACTTACCGAAAATTACCTGTAAGTTCCTTCATTAATGTAGCCAACATTAATAAATAATGAAAATAATTGAAAATAAGTTTTAAAAATCAAAATGTGTGCATTAGAAGTAGCTATCATATTAGTGGGTAAGATGTTTAACAGAAAATAACTATTATTTAGAATAATACATCAAACTACAAAACATTTAACTATATACTTCAAAGCTAAACCCTTTCCTGTTGTTCTGAGTTTCATTTGGATAGCGCTTCCGAGAAGCTATATAAATATTCATAATATCTAGTTTCTTTTTCAGAAACCGACACTCGTGTCGAAATATCCTTTTAAAAGTTGTCTCACAAAAATAAATGAAGCACAACAAAAAAATTCAACCGCACGCCACAGACCTTCGGAAACAGTTAAAGTGCTATTGCTAACTTGGCGGCTTATCTACCGAAAACGGACCAATAGAAACGAGGCGCGTGCCGGTCAGATGATTTATTAGTCCGTACCTCTTTCATCGTTGTATTGGGGGAATTTCCATTCGACTTTCTTCGCCGAAATGGCGGCCGTTTTTTGGCACTTACAGGAGAGTTTCATAGCTGATTGTTATCTAAACTGTGCTTCAGATTTTATGTGTGCCCATACATACATTTTTGTAATGAGTCAACTAGACTACACGCATTGTTGGTTGCATATGTTTTGTGTAACCGAGTGGTCTGTAGTTTTCATCTCTGAGAAGAAAGTTGGTTGAATAGCAAGATCGCATTTGGATGATAGTGTATTGGTCTGCATACGTATAAAATCAGTGATATTTGCTGTGTGAGAAAAAAATACTGAATATGCTGTCAATGAAGTATATCTATTAGCCCGACGAGTTATTTGAGTTGTGCTTTCTGAAGAGAGGTTACGTTAAGTTATAAATTACGATAAACTTTGAGGAGAATTACGGGAAATCACCACCGCGCCCGCGTTAGCATGTATATGGCTTGTAATTCGACAGTGTACAGTGCATATAATTATTTCTTATCTCTCTCATTTTTGAAATTCAGCAAATTTGCATATATAATTTCCAGAATGGATAAGAAAAAGTGGATGCGCAACTGATTTCTAGCTTTGAATTTAAAGTAAGTGTATTTGAGACAAGAATCCAATGGAATTATCATCAACACATACAACTGACAGCTTAGACCTCCAGTAATGCCATCTCTGAAGCAGATTTCACATCACATCAGAGCCAAACATTGATAACTGAAGCCTCATGACGTTTAGGCAACACGTACCACTAAGTGCTAAGTTAACATCTTGTAGAAAAACCTACGTAATGTCAAAAAATCAGTATAATGTAAAACAATTGAAAAAACGTCACTAAACCGTGTCGTTCATCTGATTGGTCCAAAGTTCTTCTGTTCGAAGTTTAAAGTTTGAAATCTTGAAATCAACAAACCAAATTGGATACAAATTTTATAGGATGATGAGCGAGACAATTAGAGTAAATGTACGAAATCGTCATCTATGGCGTAAGCGTTTGCGGTCTACTTCTATTTGGAGATGACCACCAATTCATCCCCTATTTACTTGCTATTTGATGGTTTTCTGAGCTTACCACCATAGTTCGTTGCTGCATATGGTTTTGACTATTTGTCAAAAAAGATGGTAGCTATCTAAATAGCACGACTGGTAGAAACAGCAGGTTCAGTCCGACTTGGGACTGCCGACTATTTTCTAAATCTGAACAGATAACTTAGCGTCTCTGTGAAGCGGTCACGCCAAGACATATCTTAATGATTTTTAAACCTATAAGTCATAAACGAGTGACCTCTTGACAAAAGTTTATCAATAATTAGAACCATGTTATTTTGCTCGCTCTTATCTGACTGATCATGATACATTTTGAACTTATTTATTTTTGTACGATTGATTTCCAGCTTTTAACATGTTTTCAAAATCATGGAATGCTTTAGTCCTTGCTTTTTGATGTTTTTATGGTTTCGATACACATATATCGTATGTCTACGTAGATGGATAAGCTGTTCATACTATCGGCTGAGAAATATTAAGCCAATATACTCGACTCCATGTTTCAGTTTCAGTAGTATAAAAAAAACATAGTTGCCTTTTATTATAGTAAACAATATAAAATTTCTTGCAGCCGAAAAATTCGAAACCAAGTCCACAAGCACCATACGACGCATACGCACAAAGCTGGGTGTTCGACGCGGAAAACAACCCTAGCTGCTCCAACTCCAAGGACCACAGTGGGTACTTCAGGGTGGTGCAGAATGGTACCCCGAAAAAGCCGGCCTCTGGAGGTGGCAGGTCCACCCGAGGAATGCAGAACGGAATTGTGAGTAGCCAGTTTTTATTCGGGGCAAGAAGAAAGATTATTTGGACCATTTCAATACACAGTGAACAGGATTTTGGAAATAATAGTTCTTATTAATAATGATCACACATGGAATTTTTCTAAACTATACGTACATAACAATTGAACATGACTACCTACAAGTGACCTATTTTCCATTAATGTGTAAATTGATAACAGTGAATACTGATAATGAATAGTCCAATAGGGAGTACCTTAGAAGGTCCAAGGTCGGAGATCGAGCAGACCATACCTCTTGGTCTTTCTTGATCATATTGAAGGAGTGTAGGTGTAACCATTGATCAATGCATTCTAACTTTGATCAGTGATGTAACAGGGAATGCCTCTGGTGTGTTTGAAAATTTTGCTCGTCCACATCCGAGGGATGTCTTTTAAGTTTTGCATATGGAAATAAAACAACACGGTAGGTAGTTTTAAATGACTTTATTGTTTTTCGAAGTATTCTCCGCGAAGATTAATACACATCTGCATGCGCTCGAACCAATTTTCGAAGCACTTATGCCACTCGTTTGCTGGCAGATCCAAAACGGCATTTTTGAATGCGTCCACTGCTTCTTCTGATGACTGGAACCTTTGAACACGCAGTGTTTTTAATTTTCGGGAAAGTAAAGAAATCGTTAGGACTTAGATCGGGACTATATGGAGGATGGTCCAATAATTCCACGTGTTCTTCCGTTAAATACTGCCTTGTTTTTTGAGCTGTGTGCGACCTTGCATTGTCTTGGTGGAGGATGATTCTTCTTTCGGGGTTGATTTTTCGAAGCTCGGTGATGACTTTTGGCAAACAAATGGTGGTACACCAATCCGCAGTAACAGTTCTTTGCTCGTTAAGAGGAATTGTTGCAATATGACCCGCTTTTGACACAAATGTCGCGACCATCTTTTTCGAAACACTTCGAGAACGGATGACTTTTGTTTGCTTTTCTTCACCCAAACAGCCGACTGTCGTTTATTTTCTGGTTCATAACAGTAAATCTACGATTCATCACCACTAACAATGCGGTACACATTTTTTGAGTTTCCGGAATTGAAAAGGTCAAGCGTTTTTTGACACCAATTAACCCTGGCTGCTTTCTGCTCTTCAGTCAATAGGTGGGGTATCCAACGAGAAACTAATTTTCTTACACCTAATTCTTCATATAAAATTCTTTGAATTGAGGTCTTTGAGATCTTCAAGGACGCCTCAATCTCGCGATATGTCACCTGTCAATCTTCAAGGATGAGTTTGCGCTAAGCATCGACGTTTTCCTGGGTGACTGGCGATTTTGGTGCACCCACCCTGAGATCGTCGCTAAGACTCACTCGTCCACGTTTAAATTCTCCATACCAACGGGAAATTGTCGACTGATGTGGCGCTTCGTTGCCGAAAACAGACAGTAACTCAGCAAGGCATTCTTGTTGCGATAATTGTCTCTGAAAGTTGTAATAAATTATGGCGCGAAAATGTTCTCGGTTGAGTTCCATTTTTCTAATGACTTGGTGACACTTAAAAATTCACTGTAGTGAGAGCACTGCACGTATTGTTGTGAAACTTTGAATTTAAGTTTACTAAAGAGTGAGGTTAAGATTGAGTACTGACGTTCGATCCGCGCGGCCTACTTTGTTTCTATATGCAAAACTTGAAAGACATCCCTGGTATTCGGTTATTGTTGGCAGACTTTCCATATATCTCGCTTAGAAGCTTATGCTTCGGAGGAAAACTAGAAAACAATTGTCTACTTGGGTATTGAATTGATTAAAATTAATAGAATCGATACATTTTTTTTATTCATTGTTTCATGAATGGGATCACATTATACTACTATGCTTAATAAAAATATAGTTTTTAAATATACTTTTTCAACCTGGTGTCAAGTAGATTGACACTGTTTTCATATTTCCAGAAAATTCTTTTAGAAGGTTTTGAACAAAGGTCATCAAATTGTTTAGGAACTATGATAATTTTATAGCAAGCGTCATTTTTTGCAATTAGATAAGATCATTAATAGTACTCACATTCTATCTCCGTATTGACGATTTTTAGTTTGCTTACAATGTTGTACAGAAAAAGAATAAAGCAGTCCACGGTCGATCTCGAACCGAGAACAGCTGCAAGGTAGGTAGACACCTTATTCATTACACAATCTCGGGGCTAAATGGGAGTTTCCAGAGTGGCGCAGATAACGAAAATACCTATCAAAATTCTCAGCTCCATCTGCATTTCTCTCTGGAACTCCCCGGTTTGGAGCTAGCAAATATGCATGGTCCATTAATTACATATTGTACCAAAAAATAGCTTTTTTAAAATGAGGTATAGCGATTGTAAGCCCTCCTTCTACTAGAAGAGCTCGGAAAAATAAGATTGCAAAAAATTGTAAGAAACATATTGCAGAATAATAAACAGTCTATGGTTACTAATTATTGAGCAAAATTTATATATCTCGTGTTAATTATGAAAGGAAAACATTCTCAACGTAAATCCCAGACGTTCATTCGCCTAAGGAATGCCGCAATATGCAGGCATAGTAATTTTCATTGTTTTTTAACATCCGACCACATAAACCATATAAAGCGTAATCTATATGAAACTTGGGAAAGAGAAACTGCTGTATGTTAAACGCACGTTTGGCAGATTTACTGTTTCCAATTTAAAGGATTAACATGCATAAATATTTATTATTCATATTTAAATGCATCGTGTGATACGATTTTGTTAGTACTCTACCTATCCAGCGAAAATAATTATAGCGTTAATATTTTACACTCCGGTGACAAATACACGGGTTTCTATTAGTTAGTTAGATAAAATGATGGAATAAACTGAATCTCACCACTCTCAAGGCCGCTAGGTCTTGCATTACGGTAACCCAGCACCCAGCACCTTTGGGTTCTTGTCCTTACCAGTTGTTACGCAGGTCTAGATCATCAGCCACATCATTTTCCACACTCATTATATTGTCTGAGGATCAGTTATCTGGCAATGTACATTCGCAATGCCAGAAGCGAAGTGAAGCTGTTTCGGTTTTTTGATATTAGCTGGGAGGCAAACATATTATCCTTTCCCATTTTTTAGAAGACTTCCTGTATTTCAGCAGCTCTTTTTACTAGTCGGTGATCTGTTATAATGCCCCTGAATTTTGACTGACCCTTCATCAGGCAACCTTTACAACCCCCATCTACAAGACCTGAATGACAACCTAGAAGCTACTTTCATTGTGGGTCAGCATTGTGAGTCGTCCTGCAGTGCAAATCTTAATATTTTTGTCTGCACTGCTTCTGTAAGATCTCCTTCGCAGCTGAGAGCTATACCAGTCAAACCATCTATTTATGCATGCTGTCTAACTCAGACATAGGTCCGTTAACCATTTTTGAGTTAGATGCCCATATTAATTTTTACATCGATGATTTATGAAAGATCGATAATAATGTAATAATAGTTGAATCTTTTTGGTTTTCATGACTTTCTGGCCAAATGAATTCACATAATACAGGGTGGCCCATCCATGTGTGGACGGAATATTACTCATAAATAAATACATTTTTGGAGAATCTATTTATGGCATGTTAAGGGTGTCCCAATTTTGATCTACATATCAAAGTTGTGATTTTTTAAATAGAATGCCTCAATTTTTATTTCATATTTGGATAAACCAATTCAAAAGAAGAAGATTGATATAACATACTATAGGGTTTTGGTAATTAGCTACTGAGATGTAAGGTGTTTTGTCCAGAAAAACCGTCCACTTCGGCAATCCCTCAATCCGCCATTTTGAAATTTGGAGTGCTGAATTTTGTATCAAAAAAAACTTACACCCCTCAACTTTTATCTTATTTCTTACTTTTTTGGATATTCATTTTTGCTCATATACAGGGTGGTCGAAAACGCGAATTGTACTTTTTCTCAAAAATCTCAAATGCATCACCCTGTATATTTGTGCAAGTTTGGATTCAATTTTTTATAAGCTTTTTTGATGTAAGGTTTGATTCAGATAAAATTACTAGATTTTGAGTTATCAAGCTTTTAATAGAACAACACACCACACATGGAAACAAAATACAAACAGTGGGCTAGTTCCATATTGCCAGTAAGAGTACAGATTTGACGTAAAAACTAGTAACAATCAGAACAGTATAAATCAGCTTCAAACGGAATAGATAAAAACAACTATAACAACAACATAAACAAACAACTATCACTACTCAAGAGCTAATCTACAAAAACTGCTCGAAAATATCTGCACCATGTTGAATATACAGCCGTAGTCTTTACATAAATAACCGTTGCACATCCCTCAGCATGAGTTCCCTTATGTTCAGAAAAGCATCCTTAATCCTTTCCCTCATATTTTCCGGGGTAGATGGTGCATATCTATAAACCTCTTGCTTAACGTAGCCCCATAGAAAGAAGTCCATCGGTGTCATATCTGGTGATCTAGGAGGCCAAAATATAGGCCAAATCACGACCGAAACAGTTGTTACTCCAGGTGTCCAAATAGTTACACGATTATGACAATGCGCAGGTGCGCAGTCATGTTGGAAGTACATATGCATCCGAGTTTGCAGGTTGACATCCTCCAAAAGCAAAGGCGAATGCTCGATCAAAGAAGTATTCTGTAGCTGTTAATCTGTTGTCGAAAAATAAAGGCCCGATAACTTGTCTGCCAATAACTCCTTCCCCAACATTCAAGCTCCATTTATTTTGGAAGTCTATTTGCCTAACCCAGTCAGGGTTTTCCGTCGCATACTAGTGCATGTTATGTCTGTTGACAACACCTATGCTGTTAAAAGTTGTCTCATCGCTAAAAAGAACCTTATCCAGGAAAGTTGTATGTTCACTCACTTTATTTAGCATTATTCTACTATTCTACATTCGAGCGTGGAAAATGTTTCGGGCCTTGGATGTCGCATTTTAGGGTACCGTTCCTTATAAATGCGAGATGCTAGGAAACTATTTCTTTGGCCTTCGCCCAAAACGAACACCGTATTCACCAGTTCTTCTTTAAAAAAATTCATTTTCAAACACGTTCTTATTATAATGCTCACAAAGTTAATTTTGACAATTTGTAACTAATCAACAATTTATTTGTTTCCAAGGATGATGCGATATTTTAGGGAATTAAGCCGTTCCATAAAGGACGTGCTAATAACCGAAAAAATAGCCGTAAAACAAAAATGAATCCACACTTGCACAAATATACAAAAATATAAAAACTACAATTTGCGTTTTTGACCACCCTGTATAAGCAAAAATTAAAATTCTAAAAAGTAACAAATAAGATAAAAGCTGAGGTTTTTTTGATACCAAATTCAGCACTCCAAATTTCAAAATGGCGGACTGAGGGGTTGCCGAATTGGGGGGCTTTTCTAGACAAAACACCTCATATCTCAGTAGCTAATTACCAAAACCCCATAGTATGTTGTATCAATTTTTTTCTTTTGAATTGGTTTATCCAAATATGCAATAAAATTTGAGGCATTCCATTTGAAAAATCACTACTTTGATATGTAGGTCGAAATTGGGACACCCTGTATAATGGCCAATATTTTAGAAATATGCCCTCAAATGTCGTGTATAAGATCACCTAAATAGATTTTCCAAAAATGTATTTGTTTATGAGTAATATTCCGTCCACACATGGATGGCCACCCTGTATATGTATAAAGTATTTTTTACTGACGTGATTCGACTACAGCGTCAGCTTCTTTCATAGCAAATATAATGACAATGACTATATTTTATGCTTATCATTTACAAATATCTGGTGACCAGAATCTCGTGGAGTTCAACCAAGTACAAGTTTTCACAATGGGGAATCGTTTAAATATTATGATAATTATTATTCCTATTGTCGTTAAGATTCCTATCCTTCAATATTCTGAAACGTCGATCTGACACTTGGGCATCGCATAGACTGACATGGTAGTAGTGATGATCATCGTCAACATCAGTACGAACTTGTTGAGCAAACTGTCGAGGCAAAAGGCAATCTCGTCCCAAATTATATTTTTGAAGTCTTGATATTGTCTGAGCATATCATCAAATCTATTTTGCCTGGTGGATCGTTATTCGCAGAACACGTTACCAAAACATATTAGCAAACACTAGGACCTTGTGTGATGCGTTGCCAATGTTGTTGCACCAATAATAATAATGGCATTCTCAAAATATGATTCGGCATGGAATTTGTAAAATAAAGTAAATATTTCTGTTATTTAAAGAGCACAAATGGTATGTCAGTAATCTAGAAGAAGGAATACCGAAAATCTTTCCGTCAAACAGATTGACTTGCAAATATAATTTTTGGATTTAACTGACTTTAAAATGACAGTAAACTGAACTATGAACTTGCATTTGATTAAACATGATAATACAATTCTTATTGAAGGTAAAAGAAACGAGCCACCTTATCGACAACCCAGTGGTGCAAATCGAGGAGGCTTCGGATGACAGCAACAGTGGACGCAGCGACCGCAAGCTCTGCTATATGAAGAGTTTCTCCAGGTCCCAGTCGCCTGTCGCATTATCGGCCAGCTCGTCCCAAGTCAGTCTGGATGCTCCGCCCCCGGTCGAGGTTGCCACGTCGGTGGTCAACCCTCCTGCCATCTACCAATGCTTGGAGAAGCTTACCGAGCCTACCATTTATAGAACTAGGTAAATTCCAGAAAATGAACAGCAGCTTTGATGTCGGTCAAAAGAACAATTGGGATTTTTTTCGTTTGTCAGCCACTGGTCCAGTTTTTACAATCTATGTTTTTTCATATATGCTGGCAGGGCAGATTCAGCGTAACAAAAACAACTCATATGAACATACATAGATTCGGAAATTCCAATTCCGTGAGACATAATGTTCATCAAAGAAATGGCGCCAACTGAGCAATTCCTTCGCAACGCTGTCATCAGTTCATAAAGAAAGGATTATGTTCGTCACAAGTTAGCCCGTCTGATAAGAAAGCTAGGAATATGTATAACAAAAATCAATTAGATCAAACAGGCTCATACAATTAAAATTTGCATATTTAGTATATTTTTCTTTACGGTTTTGAGACTCTTCAGGGTTTGACCTCCTGGCAAAATATGCTACCCCTCTCTCTTCAAAAAGTTTTGGAGGCAGTTGCGCTTTACCAGATCTTGCAGATGGTTGGCCCTCCTCCTACTCCTGAGAAAAACTGCGGCGCACATGATCAAGACTATAATTACATCTCGTGTGGATGACGAATTGATGATCGACGGCCCACATCCAGAGCAGTCGAGCAGCGGTGGCCGACTGGGACGCACATGCTTCGACCGGACGCGCGTATTATCGACACGCGACGCGGCGGTTGGACATATTTTTCCATAATTCTAAATTTTAAGGATAAATATGTACGGGAAAACCTATTATATTATGAGTGAAAAATGTCTAATAGTGCGCGGAATTACCGCGGATGAAGGCGTATAAGTATACCAACGTCAATAATTGAGATATATCCTCTTCCACCCCCTATTACCACCATTTTCTAACCCTAAAAAGATGTTTTCTCAAAATGACAAGGAGCTTCTGCAGCATCAAAAAAAAGTGAGCAATTTTTTTTTGCCCAGTGCTGCCTCCTCCTGGTAGGTTTCGAAAGACTATAAAGCTTTTTCGTCCTTGACATATTAGTTACCTTTTGTGAATATATCATTGAAATCCGACCATAAAAGCGGAGTCAAGGATTAGCGAACAGAATGACGGAAATGAGTGACATCATTCTTCGTCATTTACATGTCATGTCATTTTTAACAATCTGCGACTGATTGGTAAACCCCAAGAGGCCGTTTTTACGTAGAATCAGTTTTTTTAATTGTCATATTAATTAGCATAGCCATTGATGTCTGTTACTTGAAGGTAATATTCCTTATTGACCGTTATACCCTGCGTCAAGAACTCTTCAGTTTTCGTCTGTTGCAGATTACATCTTCTCCGCCCTCTGAGAACATTTTGTACCACCGATAAACGTTGCTTTTGTCCAAAGTAGCTTCGCCGTATGCAACGGTCAACAGTCAACATTTGGAATATGTCCGCGCACTTCAAGTTGTTTTTTACATAAAATTTAATACAAATTCTCTGATCCATTTTTGGAATAGACAAAAATCGGAGACAAGATAAAACACGTCCACGAACAATAGCTGTCAAAAACTGACTGAATATTCAAAATGGCCGATATTGTCAGCATTAGTGAGGGTCATGAGTACCAACATAACGCCAGAAAAAGATCGAAAATCGAACATACGTAGCCCGGGAAAATATAAAATTTGCGATACTTTTTGAACAAACTCGTACACCTTGAAAATGTTATAACATCTAAAAAATATATCTTAAATTCGAAATTTGCACGCCTTATTGGCGTCTGAAGTTTGAAGTTAAGAGTTTTAACGAAACTCAGTGAAAATAATTTTAGGTTAAACACAGCGCTAAGCAGTAAAGAAGAAGAGTATTATCAAGCGCCTCAAGCTGTAGTGATGCGCAAGGTGGAAGCTACAAGTCCTAGGGTAGAAAAAGTACAATATGCTTCCTTGATGAAGGAGTTGCAGAAAGCCATTATTAGTAAGAAAGATCCCCCCAGTATCACATCACCACAAAGTAATGCCAGCGATAGTGATAAAACGCACACGGTGAGTAGATACATTTTTAATAAAAAAAATTCTGCGTTTTCCACCCTAAGATTTTCTATTCGGCAGAGGTATTACGTAAAAAATCGATATGACTTCATTAAGAATCGGTATAATGTTAAGCTGTGTACCAAGTAGTCGCTAGCCCATTCCGCTCCTACTTTCTGCGAGTGGCAATAGTATAGAACATTCAGCTTAGTCCATAGAAGCTATGAAAGGCCCCCACAAGTCCCGTCTCTGAAGCAGATGTTCTATAACATTATCAGAGCCAAACCATATAACCTAAGTGTCATGACGTTTAGGCAACTCGCACAGCTACTACAAGTGAACATGAAGTGAGGGTCACTGCCACTCACCATTTTCAAATTTAAATGCACTATTAGGAAGTAAAGTAGATGCATACTTTTCAGATAACCTGATAAAGGATTATATAATATGTGTAATTTTGACAATACAGACATCACTGGAATGTTCTATGTCTCAATTTTAGTTGCCACCATTCTTATCCGTTTTTATATTTTATCTATTTTTGTTAAATGTTTGTCTATTTTTATGTTATACTTCAATGTTTGTTTATTCTTGACTGCCATAATATACTGATGCGTGTTATACGAGGGCGGTTCAATCAGTACCCCTGTTTCACGACAGAGGGCGTTCCTGGGGGAAGTTCATGTTATCAGCGTGTGCTGCCATCTATCAAACGACGGCACAACAAATTTCAGTCTGATTGGTAGGTTAGTTTGCATTTGGCACACATTCGAGTAACACGTGTTTCGTGATTTTCGCTAAGATGGAAAAAGAGCAGTATCGTTCGGTAATTCGCTTTTTGTTTTGGATGGGAAAACATGCGAGGAGATAAAAGCAAAGTTGGATGCTGTTTATGGGGACACTTCGCCATCGATGACCACAGTTAGATATTGGTTCAACGAATTTAAACGTGGACGAACCTCCGTTTTTGATGAGGATCGACCAGGACGCCCGGCAGATGTGGTTACCGAGAAAATGAAAAAGTCCACGACGTGATTCTCGATGATCGACGAACGAAAGTGCGCGCATTAACAGAGGCCGTAGGTATGTCGACCGGAACGGCAATCAATATTTTGCATGATAAGTTGGCTATGAAAGAATTGTCTGCCCGATACGTGCCGCGATTGCTCACGGTGGACAACAAGCGGATGCGGCTGTTAACTTCCCAGCAGTGTTTGGAGCAATTTAAGCGAAATATGAAGAAGTTTTTGCATCGAGTTATCACCGTCGATGAAACCTGGATTCAACATTACACACCAGAAACCAAGCAACAATCAAAACAATGGATTTCTCCCAGTGAACCTGCTCCAAAGAAGGCGACGACGGACCCATCGGCCGGAAAGGTCATGGCGACGATTTATTGGGATGCGAACGGCGTCATCCTCGTGGATTTTTTTAGAAAAAGGAAGAACGATCACTCCACAATACTATAGTGAGTTATTGGACCGCTTCGACAAAAAATTGAAGGAGATACGGCCACATTTGACGACAAAGAAGGTGCGGTTTGACCACGATAACGCACCAGCACATTCATCCGGAGTTGTCGCCACCAAACTGCGTTATGAAGTGCTGCCGCACCCCCCGCATTCACCCGATCTGGCTCCTGCGATTTTCTCTTGTTCCCTGACATGAAGAAATGGCTCGCGGGGAAAAAATAGCTCAAACGAGGAAGTCATCGCCGAGACAGAGGCGTATTTTGGAGAGTTCGACAAATCCTATTTTTGGAGGGGTTAAGAAAATGGCAGGAACGTGTATCTTTCTAAAACGGATTATGTTGAAAAATAAAAATATTTTTTTTGGAAAAATGGTGTCTTCATTTCTAACACGATTAATTATTAAACCGCCCTCGTATACCTATTTATTTTCTGTATATTTTTTATGACGTGTTCCATGTCATCCTATGATGATCTGATAGAACCAATAAAGCAATGAATGAATGACAAGGGTGACCTTTTTTTCGAAAAAATCTACATAATGTCATTAAGAATCCATATAATGTCATATTTTAAGCTACGTAATAGGGGTGTCGGGCATAAAAGCTAAATTAGGTTGAAACACTTAATAATTATGAAAATCAGATTAAAAATTACTTTAGGTAATTAAACATTAGGGAAGATAAGGTGGTATATACCTTAATATGTCTCTATTTCATTCTCTGATTAGGTGTTTTTCTTCACTGGGTTCAAGTACAGTTAAAAGATTTCGGGTTATCCATTTTTGGGTCATCCACTTATAGTCCTTCGTTCATAAGAATATTGAACAGTTTAACATAAATATTTGTACACCATTTGACAAAACATTTCGACGATTCTACAAACACTACAAACAACTGAATGCGTTAAAGATATTCACACAGTTGGTATACACTCAAGATCAAAAAAATATATTTTCCGGTAAAAGATAAAATTTGAAATTGTAGTAATGTTGTTCATCTCAAAATAAAAGATATATTTGGGGTAAGTGAAATTATATTCAAAATGAAACTAGATGTAGACCGATACATGATTATCGCTGATACCAGTAATAATCGGGCGATGCCGATATTTCAGAAGCCGATATATTGGTCTATCGGCCGTTTGTATCTTTCTGCTAACAATCGCTTGACCATGTATTTTGGTTCGGGTAAGTATATGGGACGTAAACAATCTTACTGATGGCTACACACACAACGTTTATTGAGAATTAGGCTTCTGTAGTTTTTTGTACACTTGCACATGAGCATATGCTGCCTTCAGGCTCCCATATACTCGTACACATCTTTTTGTATGCTTTATTTACGCCATTCCGTACGAAAATGTAGAAAATATGGAAAACTAATGCTCTCTGGTAGTATTTCGAAGAAGCTACTCGACTGATGAAATCGATAGTGCAACTTGTGCTTTTTTCAAAAAAAAAATAGTTACATCAAATACCAGGGCCATTTTTAAGTAAGAACGGTAATGTAGTCAAAGAATGTAGATTAAAATAATATTTATTGCGACAGGTTTGCACCCATTCACAAGAATACTAATAAAGAATGCGAGTATTTAAGGGTGTGAATCTAAATTAAAAATTAATGTTGTTTGTTTTATAAACTATGCTCCAAAAATGTTTCCTTACAAAAACTCGGGGTGTCGAAGTTTTAGGAAAAAAATTGAAATTAATTGATATTTTCAGAACTGCTTCATATATTGCACTGATATTTAGTACGTAGTTAAAGTTACTAAAGTTGCATCTTTTTCAATGCAAACATAATATTTAGCTTTAACAGTGGCGTGCGTACGGGTATTGACTTCGATATTCTTTAAGAAAAAAATGGTACGCCAATGATTTTTTGCCAAATAAAAAATATTTTTGAATTCCAAGTTCAATTTAAAACAAATGATCTCTCTTGAATTGTTTCCTTTTGATGCGCCATTTTTGAGTAAAAAAATAAAAACCGTTCTATTGTCTAACTTGCAAAATTATTATTAATTTAATTGGAAAAATTAAACACATTAGGGGTAATGAACAACAACAACTGACAACATAAACATAACATTAAAACAAACGAAATGATTACAAAAATTGTTGAAAATGGCCCCCTTCACTTCTGCCCTCCTTCTCATGGAATTGCGCACTCGTTGAAATATCCCTGGAGTGTTTTCTATTCTATCACAAGCTGCAACTATTCTTTCTCTTAATCCCCCTATAGTGTTAATGGAACTTGTGTACACTAGTGTCTTAAGATGGCAAAAACCATTGGCGTACCATTTTTTTCTTAAAAAATATCGAAGTCAATACCCGTACGCACGCCACTGTTAAAGCTAAAACTTATTTTTGCATTGAAAAATATGCAACTTTATTAACTTTCACTACGTACTAACTATCATTGAAATATGTGAAGCGGATCTGAAAATATTAATTCTTTCCTATTTTTTCCGAAAACTTCAACACCTCGAGTTTTTGTAAGGAAACATTTTTGGACCATACTTTATAAAGCAAACTAACATTAATTTTTCATGTAGATTCACACCTTTAAATATTCGCATATCATTAAGGAACACCCTGTATATTAAAGTAATAGTGATACATTAAACAGCACAAATAAAATGCGTCATTAAAATAGACATATAAAGTATCCCAGTAAGACAAAAAAAAATGTAATAAAAGGTTGAAGATAAGTTACATTCTGTTCATTAACGTGTAATTTCTTTTAACACTGACTAAACTATTACACATTGTATTTATTGGAGACAGGTGTGCTATAGTTGTTCTACCAGTTGTAGTAAAAAAGTCGAGTTGAAACGTGTCATTTTTGAGGGGACTGCAAAATTAATTTTGACTAGTAGGGACAGACAGTCTAATCCATTATTGATTATATTATACAGAGGTGTAATATCTGTATGGCGTCGGGAAGCTGGAGTCTCAAAATTCATCCTTTCAAGAAGCATGGCATGAGAAAAATCTCCTTCAGGATAAAAACCATACACTTAGTAGTGCATATATTTTAACTTGTGAACCCTGGACAGATTCAATTGTTGAAATAGCATTCTGATAGAATGGAGACGAAATAATTGCTCTATACTCCAGCTTACTCCTTATAAAAGAAGTATACCGTGCTCTCACACTCTTCATGTCGACAAAACTAGACCAGTTGCAGCCACAATATCCCATAACCTTGTTTGCTGACATGATCATTTTGCCTATATGCTCAGAATCATCATCATCAAAATTACCCCATGTCTTCAAAAGACTGACATCTATCTATAGCTACGTTATCAATCTGATAGTTGAACAGTATTGAATGGCTTTTGCGAGAAAAGCTTAAGGTCTTGCATTTTCTAAGAGTCAAATCAAGTTCATTGTTGAACGTAAATCGAATCACTGACTAAAGTATTACACTTTTTTCATTGCGTAAGATAGTATCCACAAACATTCAAGGATTGTCAATTCGTGGCACCAGTTTGTTTCAACATGTCATCATTTTCCAAGCACTTTCCACCAAGAAATTCCTTAAGTTTTGGAAAAAGGTGGTGCTAAGTCAGGGCTTATCGAGGATGATGTAGCTATTCCCAACAAAACTGCCGCAACGTGAAGCAGAAAGACATTGCTAGAGAGCAGGGCCGCCGGCGGTAGTATATAGCGCGCCTAAGATTCAATAATGTTTCACAGCACCTTTCAGTATTCAAAGCAGAACTAACTTTCCTAATCAAATCTATATATTGTTCTATAGTCGGCATTTCGAATCAAGGCGTCTAGATTGCAAAATATAAAATATACAGGGTGTAAACGTTATGATAGTCATTATTTAAATGGGTGATAGAGGGGGTTAAAAGAAGCAAAAAGTTTCATGTAACATAGGGGTCAAAACGGCATTTTTTTAGAGAAAAGCGAGTAAAATAAAATCTGACAACGCCGCAATTCCAGACGCAAATTACGACGGAACCCAGTGTAAATAAAGATGGAGTTTGTTATTTTTGGCTCTTAGGTATTATTTCATTATTTGATAATGTACTCGTAAAATGCAAACAATTAAAAAATGGGACTTACCACTAACTCTCTCAGCGCTTCACCTGGTGTGTGAAAGTTTATTGAACGTATTAAAAAAATCCACTTATAAATAAGGAACACAATTTTGATACATATACTAAGTGACACATGAATCCGAACACCCAAATGGTTTTATTTTAATAAAAGTTGGTGAATGTATTTATCTTACTGTAAATAACAAGTGACAAAATTTTCAGCCTTATCAGTTGGACATTCCGGTTTTTATACTGCTTTTTTTTAATTCACTAACGCTCTAAAAATGAATATTTCAGAATATTGCAGTAAAGAATCAACGTTGGCGGATTTTGGTTCTTGACATCCTTTACGATCGGTTACGATGCCGAGAGTACGGAGACCTGTACGATTTCGTCAACTTAGTGAGTTTGATAGGGGCCGTATAGTGGGACTTCGGGAAGCTGGACTTTCTTTTCGGGCAATTGCAGTTAGAGTGCAAAGAAGTGTAGACACTGTGGTTAGGTGTTGTCAGGCATGGCTTCGAGAATGCCGTACGCAAAGAGCAAGGGGCACTGGAGGCCGCCGTAGAACAACAGACCGTGAACATCGCCGCCTAAGATTATTGGCCTTAAGGGACCGTTTCTCCACTACCAGGTCCATTGCAAATGAATGGTTTGCAGAACACGGAAGACCTATTGGCATGCGAAGTGTTTACCGACGAATGAGAAGTTTTGGCTTGTTTTCATACCGGCCACACTGGGTCCTCCCTTTAACTCGAGAAAACCGACGTAATCGCCTTGAGTGGTGCAGACAACGGTCACTCTGGGATCAGGAATGGAACAGTATTGTCTTTAGTGACGAGTCTCGATTTTGTTCAGGCATGCACGATGGTTGTGCCAGGGTTAGAAGGCGACGTGGTGAAAGGAGGAATCCATAGTTTTTTGTTGAAAGACATGTTCATCACACTGTTGGAGTTATGGTTTGGGGTGCTATAGCTTATGGTTCCAGGTCACCTTTAATCTTCATCAGAGGTAACATGAGCGCGCAGCGTTATATCCACGAAGTTCTAGAACCCCATCTTTTACCCTATCTTGACACCCTGGCAGATCCAACTTTCCAACAAGATAATGCCCGACCACATGTTGCAAGAGTCACAATAGACTTCTTTCAACATAATGATGTCACATTGTTACCATGGCCACCAAGATCTCCCGACTTATCCCCAATTGAGCACGTGTGGGATATGATGGATAGGAGATTCCTCAATTTGCAACGTCGTCCTCAGACTCTAGAAGCACTTCGAGAGGAGTTGGTGGTTGCCTGGAATGAGATACCACAGGAGGACATTGACCACCTGATCAGAAGCATGCCTAGGCGCGTTGGAGAATCCGTAGCACATCAGGGTGCATCCACACATTATTAAAGGTCAAAAGGCTTTAAAGCAGTGCAATCATTTTGAAATTTTTATCATTTACTTATTATGCTTCATTAAGTACTTATACAAAATTTTATTAAAATGAAACCATTTAAACTGGGTGTTCGGATTTATATGTCACTTGTATACATTGTTTTTCTTTTTAAAACCCACACTGCACTTTTTTATATTTAAAGGTGTTCAAAATGTCGTCCTCCACTTTCCACACCAGCTTCATTACGTCGAACCCAGTTTCTTCTTACTCTAAGCCCTCGAAGTTCTCCATTCATTATTTCAGCCGCCTTAAAATTTTTTTCGCGAAGTTGTGCTTCAGTTTTTATTGGACCAGCCCCATAGACCATCCGTTTAAGTTCTCCCCAATACCAGAAATCCATCGGATTGAGGTCACGAGATCTTGCTAACCATTTTCGAGGATCAGGAGCATTTCGACCGATCCAGCGATTTGGATAATGTTCATTCAAATACTGAATGATGCCTCTAAAAATGTGTGGTGGTGCCCCGTCATGAAGAAACCACAAATTCTGTCTCCGTTGTAATGGCATGTTGTCTAAGGTCTGTTCCAAAAGTTCTGGTAGGTTATTGGCTAGAAAGCTAAGGTATCCTTCTCCTGACAACTTTGGAAGTAACTCGAAAGGGCCAATTACCTCATCGTCAAGAATACCCGCCCAAATATTTATTACATTGTTGGAAATGACCCTCACTAATGGTATGAGGATTTTCTTGGGTCCACGTGTGAGTATTATGAAAATTTAATATCCCGTAATTCGTAAACGTACATTCGTCCGTCCCTAGCATGTTTTTAAAAAAATTTGGATTTTCAATGTTTTTGTGCAGAAAGAACTGACAGAATGTTAGTCTGCGAGGATAGTCTTCTGGTAACAAGGCCTGCCCTCGTTGTACATGGTAGGGATAAAGCAAATTTTCCCGTAGGATTCTATGGACTATGGTATGCGATAGTCCTACGCGGCGGCCTAATTCCCGAGTGCTGATATCTGCATTGATTTCCACGATATTTAAAATGTGTTCCTCCTGTCTTTCACGAGTGTGAATATTAGTGGGCTGAACACTTCCTGTATCTCGAAGTCTTTGGTACACTTGTACAAATGTCCTTCTGTCTGGGTGTACCCGGTGACGAAATCTGTCGCGATAAATTTGAGCTGCAAGATTTGAATTCTGACGAGCTTCACCGTAAACTAACAACATGTCGGCGAACTCTTGATTCGAGAACATTGTAAATAAACACGACAACATACGCGAACAAAAACAAAACAACACGCCCGATGCTCTGCTCGACAAAACGAGTAGTAATTTATCTATGCAAAACGATAACTAACCACTGTTACCGTTTGCGATCGATTGCCGGTTCGATAAGAGTGTTGAAAGACCGACGCGCTGTTGTCATGTGTGTTTTAAATATTTAATTTAATGAAACTTACTGACTACAAATTGTGGCTTAACTTAGAAAAACTTAATGCCATTTATTTGTTAATTACCCAATTTAACTTTTTGACTTGTTTTGACCTCCCCTATTACCCATTTCAATAATGACTACCATAACGTTTACACCCTGTATGTTTCTCCAGACGTCAAAAAGCAGTAGCCGGTCGGACGGACAGAAGAGTAGCGACGCGGACTTTTCCAAGGAGTTAGAAGCAGCGTTACAGCTGATCCAGGACCTGGAGAGCCCAAACACGGTGGAAACGCCATCAGACGCGGCCAAATCACCTATGGCGCCCACTGGTGGAGCCGCTTTGACAGTCTGGAGAGGCAGTGACGTGAGTGAAAGCAGCGACAAGACGCTTAGTGCTGTGGGGTCTTTAGCTGAGATTACGTCACCGATGAGTGACGGACAGCCTGCTGCGATGGCGGAGTTGCTTAAGGTGCACCAACAGACGGAAGTCAAGGGAATTGTTACACTTCCAACAGGTGGGTTAGTGGATAGTTAACGCAGTGTTTTCGCGGATATTTCAAAATGGCAGCTCCATCAACATCTAAAAGTGCTATCCAAGTGACTATCGACGTGGTCATTACAACTCATGTCGGTCGGCAACCAACAATCTACGCCAGAAATCTGGGAATTTTTCTCATTAATCTTATCATAGTAGATTAAAAATCCCCTGGTTCGCGAAATAATTGTAATGTTTGGTTTGATCGATACAAGGTGTTCAAGGGAGTATTTAAAATATGAATACATAAACTAGGTGCACCAATTTTTGTGGGAAAACTTGTAATTCAACAACAAAGAATGAGAAAACACGTTTTCTGGGAGTCAATCGAAAGTGTTGGCACGAACTAAAAAAAGTTCTCCAGTGCCTTTACTTTTAAAGAGTATACAAGCTGCTGACGTAAGAAAAAGACTCATTTTCGGAGAAGCCTGTCAACGGACCCCAAGAATATCTATGAAGATCTTGGAAGTAAACTTGGAGAAAAGAAAAAATATTACAAAATGTTGAAGCTGCAATTAGTACAAACGATTCAAATTGCTATATATATCGAAACATCTTTTCAAAAACGATACGTACAAAAAGAACTGTACCTATTCGTTAAGTTAGCTACAAAATGCTGAAAGTTAAGGGTGATGTTGTTCATTTCTTAGAGAAGGATGAAAATACAAGGATGTGCCCAGGGAACAAGGACGATCTAAGCTCTCTGAAGTATAAAACAAATCTCAATACAATATTAATAAATTAACTTATGTTTCCTATTAAAATTCAGTATCAAATTGTTGTAAAAATCATTCCCCCATCCTATCAGTCATTCCCTCATTACGTAGTTTTTTAAAAGACATCTTTCTACATGTCATACACAAAAATATGGAGGACCTTCATTTTCAATGAACCCCACTAAAGTAAAACTTTATATTTCTGCAAAAAAAAGGATATATTTTCATTATTTTTTTAAGAAATGCAAAATGAAATTTCTAAATTTGTTGAGAAGTACTCATATACTGTAGCGACTCTACTCTTACTTTAATAAACGAGTATTATTATACACTGTTGCAAATCGATAAATACTTGTCGATACTTTGTAATGAACTACGTAGACAATCTGCTGGGTGTAGCCCGATAAGCAGTGGGAGAACATTACATATTTTACCATTTACCGTTTGTTCCTTAAACCAACGTATTGATTTTTGCGAATATTGTCGTCGACATCGTTATGCCCAGGAATGAGATATCTACGAGTATACAAATATGCCTACCTAAAAGCCACACATTTCAAATATCATTTTGAAATATCTGTGAAAATAATATATAATGTCGTTAGAGTAGGATTGATAGATATTTTAAAGTCTAACTGACCAACTTTAGCGACTACTCATACATTTTAGGAAATTGCAATACTGGACATGTACAAGAACACAGTTGAAGAACCAAAACCATTAAAAGAACGTAGAAACCTCTAACGTAATGTTTCTGTTATTTTATATGTCGTATGTTCAGTCTTGCAGTGTCCTTCTACCTAGATAAGCTCTATACATGCCATCTGCTTTATTTCGTTACCATTTTAGTCTTACGTTACAGGTTTTTTTGTTTCATTTAACTCATATCATTGAAAATATCATGCATCGTAGATCTCACTTTGACATATTGAGTATGATCAGAATACCCTCTAAATATGGACCATTAATTTTTTTTAGCCATAGGCTGAATAAAACCTTCACTTCCACTGAATGATATTATTTTGTTTTTTGTTACCAATATATTTAAATTGTTTGGGATCTAGCGCATCACCGAATGTCAACATTAGTAATCAAACGTGAATGTTTAGCTTATGCATATAAAGATTCTAGCCTTTGGATAAGGTGACGAATATATGCTTAGACGTGGGTCCAACGTTCTACTTCTTGGGCCTGGGAATCCGAAGGCTGAAAGAATTATGAATAAGTACAAAAAAGCGCATGCCACACGACACCATCATGATGTTGAAGGATAGAAATTGTTCACCGCCTATTTTTCATCCATTATTCACCTCTAGCTATTAAAATTACTGCACGTTAACAGCAGAAGAACTTTGGACAAACACCTAGGCATCCTCGTCGCCTTATCCGAATACACTTGTATCCATGGGCTACAGAATCTGTATGCGATGCTAAATGATAAGTATTTAGTGGTGCCTGAGATCTCACGACTTCCATCTGAAGACCAAGTCTAAATATAGTCAGAATCACCAAAGATGACTATTACGTCATACCATAAATTGCACTGAAGTAATCAATGGACGTACGTTGATGATAAAATCACGATGCCAGGAATAATGACAACAAATTTGTATTATGATTTTGCGAAGTTAAGTTATTTCACTGATTATTTTTATTTTTTTAATTTAATGGTTTTGAGTAATAATAATCTTAGTGGGGAGTTTTTGTTTTGAAAAAAACAGTTATGATTAGAATACCTTAAGACAGAAACACCAAAGACCAAACTATTATTCGAAAACAACCTAACCTGCTTTAACATAACCTAACTATTCATCTTTCAAATGTGATCGATCATGAAACATGAAAACATCGTCTATCTTTGTCGGATACATGCATATTAGCAATACAGTTTATTTAGACAATAAAATTCTGTTTGTTTCTGTCTAGTATATCTGAAACTTCATTAAAAATATTCAGAAATCGCTCTTGTTTGTCTTTACGACAGACTAAAATGATGACGTAATCGTCATCTTTCGTGATTTTGACTATGGTTATGTTAAAAACTCCCCACTAAAATTATTAATAAGGTATCACTCAAAACCATGAGATAAAATGAAAATAAAAATAATCATTGAAATAACCTAATTTCGCCGAATCATAATATAAATTTTTTGTCGTTACGTTCCTGTCATCGTGATTTTATCATCGACGTACGTCCATTCATTACTTCAGTACAATTTATGGTATGAAGTAATAGTCATCTTTCATGATTTTGAGTATACATATTTCTAATTCACTGTTAACATGATTTCCAAAGTAGTTTTATACATTTAGCTTTGAATACAAACTGGAAAAAAACAGTCGAAACGTTAGTAGTTTTTTTAATGAATGACTAATGGCCAGTGAGCGTAGGAAAAAATCATCGACTGTACCCCACCATCTTCTTATACCCGTAGGTTGGCAACCTTGGAACCGCGGCAGCATCCCCATCCACTACCCAGACTCCCAGAGCACATCCGGTTACAGTTCACCCACCCAAGGCCCTACTCCCAACTGGTCCACAACCTCCAGCGTGAGTGGGAGCAATCCCGAGCTGAAACCCACGTCCTACTCAATCCGAAACACCGACTCCTCAACTGTCATTTCACTGTATTCCTCCACGCCTGTCGCGACGAAAAGCAAGTCGGTCACCCTGGTCAAAATCACATCGGATGAAGGGGTGCCGAACCCTACCCTTACTACGTTTCGACCACCGGCTCCCAAAGCGGTCGAACCACCTCATAGCAACTGGAAACTGAACTCGTTGCTTAGAAAGAAGAAACATGTTGGGTTGCCGCCAGAGCTGGAAAGCGCGATTATTAAGTCGGAAAGTTTGGCGTATCTAACGGATTTGGAATTATTGGCAAGGCATCAACGTAATCAAGAGATGCAGAGGGTAAGGAGCCCATTGTAAAGTTCTATAAAAATAGGAATTCTCATATGCCATTACACAGGCGTTAAGTTTTTTTTGTTATCACAGAATATCAACAACAGTGACAGTATTTCTAGGACATATAGTAGCTAAAAAGTCCATATTAATCTGGGTCCTAAAACACGTTGAAGTTATAATTTCGTAATCGAAATAAAAATTATAATTTCGGTATCGATTTAAAATTTTGCAGATGTAGTAGTATCAGCATATCGAATACCTACATAGAAAAAAATTTGTGAATGAGACCATAGATATAGGGACTTTTTTCCCTGTAGACGAAACACCTATTGCATTTTTAATAAGTTATAATTACATCAAAAAAAAAAAATTTGGAGTGAAGGTATTGCTTCAAAATTTTGCAGATGTAGTAGTAACTGCGCATTGAATACGTAGAAAAAATGTTGTGGCTGAGATCACACCACTGGGAAATTTTAACCCTGCACAAGAAAAGAGAAAAATATTTTCAACGCCACTATATTTTTCAAAACACCTATTGTATTTTCAATTTTCACAATCGCCTTAGACATCTTTGTTAGATTACTCCTTTTGGAGAAACAATGTTTTCAATATTTAAGGCAAAATCCAGGTAAATAATTCAACCTGTAACAGTTTGAAACTACTTTGCTGTTACCAAAATCTATGCATTAAAAATTGTATTATACATATATACATAGTGTATTAGAAGAGTAATCCTATCTCACGATACGGTTATTTGGACAATATTCATGTTTTGTCCTTACTCAGTCTGATCAGTGGCGTAGAAACTCACAACACCCTGTATCTTGATGGTAGAGCATTTTAGAACATAATGTTACTGGTTGTTGAGTCACCTTTGATATCATTGTATAGCAGTTATGATCAAAAAGTAGAAAATTTTATTGCTTCCATGAAGGTTGATTATACAGGGTGACCGGTAAATATCACGATAAAAAAATAGGAACGATAGGTGGCAGATCTACAAGATACCAAAAATTACCCTAGTAAAAGTTTCTGAGATATGCATTATTTTGTCTTTTTCGAAAAAGTTCCTCTTTTAATATATCTTTTGTAGCTGTGCCTAGAAATAAGAGGATATCTGTTTGTTTTTTTTTGCAAAATATTCTCAGATAGTTGGTCTGCCATTTGAAATATCATTTTCTGTAAATACAAGTAGGTAAACTTGACAAACTAATCTCAAAAACAGTGAAACTTTTACTAGGGTCATTTTTTCGTATGTTGTTGATCTGCCTTCCGCCTATCTTCCCTTTTTTTTGTCGTACTATTTACTGGACACCCTGTATAACTAAGCAAAGCAGTTTCTTAATAACCGGCGGCATATTATTTGCCCTGGTCTTTTAGTAAAAGTTCGTCACAGCATCAACATAAAGTTTTTCTTAGAGCTAATAAGTATCATATATTAAATTAATTGTCAGTGTCTTGTTTATAAAACTGCTGACTCAAATAACTTGGATTTGCTTTGGAGTTTAGGAGATTTTAAAGTCATCGTGGATGATAGGACTTTGCCTTGAAAGAAAAGAAATTTCCCTGCAACTCCCAGTCTTAGAGATGTTTTGTTCCTTAATCTCTGATGCACCGATACTGGTATATGAGAATACCTACATTTATGGAACTTTACCTTCAGAGATAATACAAATAGTGTAAAGGAAACAACTGAAATATCATAAAGTTCTACAGTACTCTTTAGCTACCTGCAGGTATTTGAACGAATTTGGCACTATGTGCCTATTGTTTACCTATTTTGTTTTTTGGTGTTTCTATTGGAATTTTTTGAGCATTTATATTGCTACTTATTAGCACATGCAGAAAAGAGTAAAATACATCAAAGAGGAATGAAATGCGGTAATAACAGTTAACATCAACTTGCGATATGGCACTTCGCACAAGTTTCCCTACTCTATTGGTAGTATCTCTGTAAAGAAACCCTGAAGACAAACGTCTGATGGTCTGATGTCTACCTTGACTAACAGTGGTGGTGGTGAACATGGTGGAGGTTTTAAAGTTTTTTGTACTGTCTCGGGTCTGTGAATAACCGCTTGCTTTATACTCTTCTTCATATTATCTGCTCATGGTTCATGTAGCTGTATCTATAGATTAGGAGAATGATACTGATATAGGCCTGCTCAAATACGAACTTCTTGATGTGACCTCAAAAACCCTTCTTTTGACTATCTGGTAGAAATATTCAGGGTAAGACTATACTTTAGCGTATATCGCAAATAGTTCATTTCTTACATTAAAATGAAAGATTAGGATGTAACTTGCATCAAAATATAAGTTTTTCTTTGAGTAACCGTCTGCTTGCTATTTTATAGAACTTCAAAGTTGCATTTTTGATGATAATAGTCTAGAATTGAATACTGTTTTATATGCTGTATTTGTTGTTTTTTGTACAAAAGGATGCTCTAAAATATAAGAATATAACATACACTGTATAGTACTAAGGAAAATAGATGTAAAACTGTAAAAAATCGTTGTTTTTTTTGCAAAAAAGGTTCAAAACCAGCCGTGTTATTACACATTAGCTTATTAGCTAAAATAACAGTTCAAAATACATACGTAAATGATGGTATTTACCTGGTAAACTGTGTAGAAGTGATGTGTTATGATTTTTCAGTCATCTTGAAATTCCTTAACCATTTTTTTCGCGTATTTTCAATGAGATAAAAATTTTTGCGTTTATAAGAAATATTTGAAAGTACAACCAATTTTGAATGGCCATTGTATAACTATCATTTTTTGACAGATAAGATAAATGATGTCCGTTGTTGCCAAGTTATACCTTTTTTGGTAGAAATACGTGATAAAAATGAGGTTATTTGCAAAATAAGAGTCTTAATTTATTGCAAATGGCTTGTTTTATGAGAAGTTGACCCAATATTTACCGAAAACTAGACGAAATTTTGAACAATATGTGTCTAAACAGTGGAAAATACACCAGCGGCTCGCGTGAAATAGAAAATACAAAAGGCACCAGCGCTCATTGCATATAAGAAAACACAACTTCGATTCATCGATTTAGACCACCTCGCTAGGTCCACCCAACATATATCATCGTCCAACATTATAGTTAAATAAAGATCAACGATCATTTCATCGAATCATCAAAAAACTTGTAATGTTCTTTGTTATGTTTTCATTATTTAGTGATTGGCAACAGCTACTTTTTCAGTTATTTCTCATATATATCACATTTAATTAGGTATGTTTTATGACATCAGCTGCAGTTTGAATAGTTCTTAAGTAAATACATACAAAAAGTAAATATATTATAACAATAATATAGGAAAAACAATAACCGAAGTACTTTTGTGAAGGGCATAAGGCATTCTTCAAAAAAGTGTTTAACGCTATCATAGGACACTAGGTGGATTTAGTACAGTAAAACCTGTCGGCCACACCTCCAAACCGCATTTTCATGACAATCCTGTGCCGATTGCACATTTTTGTGCTAGTATTTAAGAATTTGACAAACCAAATTAGGGTATATAACTATCCATGATTTGGCAACATAGCGACTAGATGGAGAGAGTATATATTCATCTGAAATAAAAGAAATGACTACTTAACAATGAACTATTTTCATCATTAAAGTAATGCAAAATTGCATTAGTGCGATGAACAGTGTTACAGGTAATTTACATTGTATGTTATATTTATATAATTTTGAGCAATTTTTTGTGTAAACAAGAAAAAACAGCTTATAACGCAGTATTCTATACCACAGTATTACCACACAAAATGCAACTTTGAAGTTCTATAAAATATCAAGCAGAGGGTTCCTTAAAGAAAAAATGATATTTTCGTGCAAGTTACATCCTAATTTTTCATTTTAAAATAAGAAATGTAATATTTGCGACGTGCGCCAAAGTATAGTTCAGCCATATTCAGATAACAAAGATACAAGCCAACGTGTTCCAAAATACATGATCGTCGAAGTATCAGATTGTTGATCTTCCCTTTCTTTTATTGTAAAACGGCTTGAGGTTTTTGTTTAATAACACATTTTCATCAGTTGCTCAAAATTAATCTGTTTTCACTAAATGTCAAACAAAAGGGTAAAATTTAACCTAAAATGACCTGAAGTGAATACCGTGTAATTATCTTTGCTTATGACTGCACTTTGTATTCAGTCTATTTGTATATATAGTATTTAAGCAGGTCTAGTTTGCAAGAAACCAAGGCTGAATGTTTATATACTGTTTTCCTAATTTGCAATCTCTCATTCATTACAGGAAATCGAGAAAAAGGTAGTGCAACAACTGGGAGTACCAAGGGCTGCAAGGACTGAATCTAATTGTTAAAATTATTAGTAAATTTTTAAATAAACCAAACCCTCTTTGCTGCTAGTCAGCATACGTCCATCGTCTGAATTTTTTCTATGATTATATTTTTCCATCTAAAGGCATTTGTATAATTCTTTATGTACATACTGTTGTTATAGTGATATAGTTTATACCGCAAGTCTATTGTAAATATATTTAAGTCTCGAGTTCTTTTTATAAATATTTCCCCTATACACTGATGTAGTTTATTCATACCTCCTTCGTTGACAAATGTCGAAATTAGTTGACTACAGCACAAGATATATTAACAACAGAAAAGTTAACAGCATTTCCGAATTGTTAAAAACTATGACTAGGCAAATGAATCGTATTTCAGCGAAATTCTGAATCCAATGTAAACTATGTAAACAAATCATATAATCCGGTAAAATTACCTTAGCAACTTCATTTGGCAGGAGCAGTATAATACGAGTATATTCTCATTAAGATGGGTTGCCGTATGTCATTGAAAATTATTTTTTTACATTTCCATTCTCATTTTTTTTCCTTCAAATCTTACAACTTATAATGATAATCAAGGGTAGCGGTTTCATCTAGACGCAAAAATGCGTGAAGGACGGTTTCAAGATCGCTAATACGCAGCTACTTTAGCAGCGTGCTGGATGCTCCGCTGTTCGATTTTCGTCTGCCGACGCGCATGACGTCACGCTGCGAATGATTCTCATTTGAGTTGATTTGGATAACGTGCACATGTTCACCTACAGGCCACACGGCTGGATGGATTTTCACATATGAAGTGTGAAGTGCTATATTAAAATTTTATACAAAACAAAATGGTGGATTTTAATAAAAGATTTCAACCGTGTAATTCCTATTTCATAGTCTATAGCTTAAACGGCTTTCTAGCTCTACAATAGAGCGTACCGTCACTTTAATGTAAAAACAAGATAAATCCAGTTTTCTACATTACCTACAGTTTAGTATGTTCTGTGCCGCAGGATTAACATGTTCATGACAGTAATACCTACATTTATGCTTATAAAAGTAAAAAAAATGGAGTTATTTTCTCTTTGCAGTACGCTGGCAGTATAACAATAAATGGAAATGACTTAGTCTAAGCAACAATTTTTCTCCATTTCCTTTTACGATTTTTCTAGTCTTTCAAACCTTTATTCAGTTCTTTGATCCGGAAGAACATCCTTGACCTGAAAAATAGTTTTTTAGCTTTTTCAGGTTAGTCAATGTTGCTGCTCTTCAACAGAAGTTCGTCTATAAAATTTAGTTTTTCTGACACTATTCCGTCCCCATTGAATGTAGTAAACACTTTGTTCAGCTTCTCAATTTGATTCATGAAAGCTGTTGGCGGTTTTGATAATTCAACCTCACTAAGATGGTCTACCAAGGAATAAGTTTCATTTCTAACCTCTCATCCTGCAATTTATGGCAAACAAAGCTGACCAAATTTTCCAGCCCGTCATACTCCAGCTCATCTATTTCTTCCACTAAAACTTCCTCGTTATAGTCAGCTGATACTTCTAGTGCATTCAGTTTATTCGTTAATGATGCGGTTAGTGCCATGTCTGGAGTATCCTCTGACTCTACGCTGCAATATGGGTCATGAAGACCACCTTTTGCCCTAATTTCTCCGAAAAAGTTTTCTATCACATCTTTATGAAGACGTGTTGTTAACATTTGTTGCACGCTGAAGCGTAGATGTAGAAGGTCCAGATGATGATAGAGACTTGGGTAAATTTTCCATAGGAATGGCATCATCTTTTAGAGCACGATATCTTTCAGGGGTGTAATCCAAATGGGTATGTTTCAAATTGACCTTAAAGGCACTTTCACAAAAGTGCTTCTAACAAACCTTACTTTTTACATTGATTTTGTCTTTCGTTTTTGTCACATGTAGCCATTTTTTGTTAAGGCTTAGGTCTTGAGGCAAACTGTGGAACTTCAGGTCTTTGCAAGGATTCCGTTTAGATTGGTTGTCGGAATTACATCCCACAACAGTACACCACATCCCAATTTATCAACCCACACAGGGTATATAAAGTATGTATACCAAAAATCACCAACAAATAATAATAATAATAATAATAATAATAATAAATTTTTTTTTTATACTCCAACTACCACGAAGGCCTAAGGCCTAAGCACCCATTGGGTACCGTGGGGCTATGGGGGATATACATGGGAAAGGGGGGACGCCACACGGACTCTGGCGAGGGAACACGTGTGCATGCACTCGAACCCGCACAGCGCACGGCGGCTGATCAGGAGACCGAAGAGTCTACTACTGCGGCCACCGCTGCTGCCTAAAACAAACACACAACATCCATGGCGAAGGCGAGATTCGAACTCGCGGCCCGGCCGGCCGGCTGATCAGTAGCACGACACTCTGACCCACGCGGCCAACCGAGGTCCAGTCCAGTCCAATGGCCTTTATTCGTCACACGATTACAAAATAATTAGTTTAAAAGGAACAGTGACGAAAAGGTGGAGTGTCAGCTTATGCTGTTTTTCAGCCCGACCTGGCAAACATTGACACAAACTATAGAGAGAGAGAAAAAAAAACTTAGAATATAACACTTATCAGAGAAAGGAAACAATCAATTACCTGTGGATATGCATAAAGTAAAATTTTAGCCATCCGACTGCTTTAAACTCATCTTTAACCTTTTTTTAAAATTGCTTAGGCTATATTCTTTATACTCACTTGATAAGCAGTTATATAGTGTGGGTGCCCAGTACGAGAAACTGCGTGTGAACAATGCTGTCGAATGCCGCGGGATAAGTAAGATGAGTTTATTCCTAGAGGATTTTTGATCGTACTGGCAGAGGAGGCTTAGTTTTGTATAAAGATAATATGGCGCTTTAAGGATAAGGGTCTTATGTACCAGAGATAGGCAATGCAGTTTCCTCAATTTGTTCATCTTAAACCATCCCGATTGGTCAAAAGCGCTACTAATATGATAAAATTTACGGATTCCATAAGAAAATCTGATGCATGAGTTTTGTATCATCTGAATCCACTCGGCATCACGTTGTAAAAGAGCAGGTCCATAAACAGAGTCACCGTAAGATAATTTTGACAGGATAAGGGACTCGCAGAGTTTAAGCTTGAGCTGTGTCGACAGGACACTTCGACTCGGGTATAACTGACGAAGCACATTATAGGAGGCATTGCATAGTTGGTTAACATGTTTAGTGAAGCGTAGCGTGCAGTCAAACTAGATACCAAGGTTTTTGCATTCGTTTACGAAGGATATGTCTTCATTATTCACCATAATATTAATGCGATATTGATTTATTTCACGATTCTTTTTGGGCCCAAATAAAATGCAGCATGATTTGCTAGGATTTAGTTTTAGATTGTGAGCACTAGATATGTCAAAAATAGACTGCAGATCTTGATTGATTTGATGTTGGCCAAGCATATATTCATCAGGATCGAAGCAGTTATAAAGTTGGGTATCATCGGCGTAATGATGAACGATTGAGTAGCTGGCGGTTTCTTGAAAATCACATATATAAATAGCAAATAAAAGGGGACTCAAAACAGATCCTTGAGGGACACCAAAATTTCTGAATAAAGAAGTTGATATATTGTTTTCATATATGACAGACTGTGAGCGATCAGTTAAAAAGCTCTTAATCAGCGTGCAAGCCGATGATGACAGGCTAAAGTATCTAAGCTTTTTACAGAGAATATTTGGGTCAACCGTATCGAAGGCCTTGCTAAAATCAAGAAGAACTAAGCAGGACAGCTTTCCTTGATCAGCCGCGCTATAAATATTATCCGATATAGACAGGAGCGCAGTGGTGGTGCTATGTAATGGTCTGAAGCCAGATTGGGAGGTGGTCAGTAAATTATTTTGACAAACAAATGTGTGCAGCTGCTCATGTAGAGCCATTTCCAAAAGCTTAGATAAACTTGGTAAAATGCTTATAGGACGAAGATCAGAAAAACTTGAAGGATAATTAGATTTAGGCAGAGGGAGAACAAGAGCATTCTTCCAGAAAGAGGGATAAAGATTATTTGTTATACAAAAGTTAATAATGAAGGTAATATACTTGAGCAAATGCTTATGTATTATACGGATCATATCAATTGTGATGCCATCTGAGCCTTTAGCATGACTTTTGATGCGATTGATAAATTTCTCTACAGTGGCAGGGGAAACTGTCGTGAACAGAAAAGTACCACTATTCTTGACGTTTTCATATTTGTCTAAAAGGTTCAATTGAGTTAATGATTTGGTTGTTTGAGGTAGGTTTAAAAAAGCACTATCAAATCGTACTATATAGTATTAACCACGATACACGTGTACTGCAGTAACGTTACGACAGTCCTGTCGCTAGTAACCACGAGCCGATAACTCTCAAGGTGACTTCACGAAGCTCCGCTCACATGCGCAACATCCTATCGTCAGTGTATGTGTATCGTGCTTTAGCAGTCCTGGTCTTTGGGACGAGAAGATACTGCTTCACAGAAGAGGGATAGTTGTGTACATTTTTTTTGTATACAATATACAGTGCTTTTCAAAAAGGTTCCCCCTACTACATGCTATCAATCTGAAACTCGTGGTAATGGAATTGATGTAGGAATTGAAAACTCCAAGATCGCAGGCAGCCGTGCGCTATTTTGCCAGTTTTCTTTTTAATGAAATGGGGGTCGTATGATACGTAATTTTGAAGCTCCTGCTCCAAAACGTTACAGCATATATTCCTCTTCCTCTTCCTTCGAATAGATACGTATTAAAATGAAACACACAATTCAAAAAAAATCTCAATATCTGGATTGAATGTCTCATATCTTATTGCACATTCAGATAAGAAGTGGATTGGTGTAACATAGTACAACGCTTTGATGATTAATTGTTGAGTAATATCCAAAAGAGCTCAACTTGGACAGCTTCGCAGTCCGCCATTTTGGGAGACATTGATCTAGGGTTATAGGTATGTAAGGTATAAGAATTTTCAGAATGAGGTATCACACAACCCCTTAATACATCTAAAAGAATTTTACAAGATCGCGCCTAGCCGCCTTCTTGAACTTTTCGACACTTTTTTTTAATTAAGAATGCCGTTTTATCGACTGCTTCCCTTTGAGATGTTTCTCAAGTAAACTGGCTAAGTAAATTTCCTTTAAGCCGCCCAACCACATCAACTACTCCTCGAACAGAAACAGCAAAGTAGATGGAATGAACCAACCTTTTAAAAGAATTTTTC